CGCTGAAATTGAAGCGAGGAACCTCATTTTGTAACCGTTCTTGGTTGGCGCGTGCTAAGTGCGATGGTGCTGAGTCCTGTTGGAATGTCCAAGATCTGCCGACAAAATGTTTAAGTGCCCAAAGCTTTAATACACCCTCCAGAATATTTTCGCGATAATATTCGGCATTCGGTAGATTTATACGAGCGGAGAGTGACCATCGGCTGTAAAGGCGGCCCACACCATCACCATGGCCGGCGCTTGAGTTATTTCTGGTGGCCAACCGAAGGTGCACATTTTCAGCTGACTACGATTTTTTGTTTGTTTACAAACTGCTGGACAATGACTGTTTTCTCATTGGAGAAAACCAAATTCTAAATTCGGCAGTTCACCACTTTCGACAAAGCGCAGCAACTCTTTAGCTCTTTTGAGCCTATTTTCTTTCTATTGCGGTGTAAGTTCTTGCACTTTTTGGAATTTTTTCAACATTTGCCGAATGGAATATTGCGATTGGTCTAATTGTAGACGATCACACAGACGACCACTGATTCTTAGTAGAATACTCTCGTAGGCGTAGAACACAAACTATCAGAAAGATGTTCTCATAGACGAACAAAAAAATTACGACCAGAATGAGTAGTTATGAAGGGAAATAGTGTGTTTCTATTTCATGGATAGGAACTCAACTACAGATACTTTCCAAAAGTAGCTCCGTAGTCGGAATTGTTTCAAAAATGACTCCAATTGGCAGGTTCGTCCTCTATCACGCTTCAAAACTTGTATGAGCCTTATGGTTTAAAATGGTATATACCATTTAATGCTGTAAAAAGGTTTTCTCATCTATATCCTGTTTTGGAACACTTTCAATTTGGAACAATTCAATATCACTCTAGATTAGAATATAAGATTTGGTCCTTGGAATTTCTGTTTAATTTTGGACGGACTAATACCTATAAACAACTTTTGTTATATCCCCCACAAAATGTTCACATATACAAAAAAGTGTCATATAAGTTATTGAAACTGTCATCATATATCGATTCACCCCTCTTTGCAATTCGTTCACCAAAAATGCAAAACTTTCAAAAAATATCATACCCATTATTGTTAAAAAAAAGTTCGTTTTATTTCAAGTACTTCCAGGTTAAAAAAGTCATGATTTTTTAAAAAGCATAAAAAATCGTGGATTTCGATTATTATGGACTTCCTGAAAAATCGTGGATTTTAAAGAGTTTTTAAAGAGGTCTTTTTTACTGTCACAAAAATGTGATAATGATGTTGTTAAAGGTCTTCCTGTTAAGAAATATGTAAATAAATTCTCATTTTCTATACACCCACAGTCATCCATCCATCGGCAATCCTACGGTAAATCCCTACAGCGTTTCCATTAATATCCTTCCTCTATCGATGAAAACTGCAACAATTGTCACATTGCCATTTGAGTTGAGCATTTGGAAAATGTTGTTTCTAAATATTCTATAAACTTCATTAAATTTTTATTCAAATCCCCACTTTTGATTCCATTCCCCATAAAAAGATTGGCTCGTCATATACAAATCCAACACACTTACACAAATTTCATGACACTATCCAAAAGAAAAAAAACAGACAGCTGGTTGTGTTTGTGTATTCGTTTTCAACAGTTATTTCAATAATTACAAAACCACAAATTTACTAAAGTATCAACCGACCGACCAGTCAAACAGGCAACTGTCCGACCAATAACAACTGCCAACCACTGACCATTGGACTTTCCAACAACATCGACAACGACAACGACAACAACAACATTGCCAACTAGCCAACTACTACTCCACGAAGAGCAGTGGTTGGAGTAACGGTAACAGCGACCATTTGTTGTAAATCAAAGGACGAACAAAATATAATAACAATGCCACAAAAACAAATCCTGTTCGAAACCGCAAACAAACAGAATTGCATAAAACTTTATTACAACCGGAGGTTCAAAGGGGGGGAGAGAATGAGACAATTTTCAATGAATACAGTAGGATGAGTGAAAAAATTGTTGGGATTGGTTCTGTCCACATAGGACCGTCTTTAGAGCTTACAGACATATAATGCCACAAATGATTTTTTTATGAACTTTAAAAATTATTTTTGGCATACAGACCCCTTCGAAAGGTTTAAATGAAGGCAAAGGACCTTCAAAATATATTCTATAGCAAAAAAACCTTCCAAAAGTGGAAAAGAATTTAGAAATAAGACCCCTCAGAAGGACTTATATAGATATATACATAGAAAAACGGGATCTATACAAAAGACAACTTGAAATACACAACGTATTTTATAAACAGGACATTTAAAACTTCTTCAAAGACAGATAAGACCTTCCGAAATCCTCTTATGGAAATAAGGTGTTCAAAAATTGAAGTGTAATTTAGAAAAAGTTTAGAAAACTACCTTCAAAATGCTTTATATAGACAGTAGATATTTGTAAGGTCTTCTTTAAATGACTGGTCCCGGAAAAAAGGTCTTTTGCTAAGAAAAGACTTTCTTTTATGGCAAAAGGCCTCCAAAAGGTCTTCTATATCAAGAGAACATTTCAAAGGTACTCTCTAGACAGAAGCTTATCTAAAAGACATCTACAAGAAAAGGCCGCATAGGGGTTTTATATGGGCAAAAAGACCTTTTTCTGGTTATTTTGATAGGTTGCACTGTCGAAGGCCTATCAAATATATTTTAAAGACGGTACGTATTTTTTAAACAGAATCCGAAAACAAGTCTTCTATAGACATGATATCAAAAGACATTCACATGATCTTCTAAAAAGAGACTACCTTCACAAAATCAAAAATCTTTTAGAGACGGTAGGTGTTTTTTAGACAGAATCCCTACACAAAGTCTTCTGAAAACCGAGGACCTTCAAAAGATATCAGAAGACATGCATATGATCTTTTTTAAAGACACATCCTTCACAAGGACTTCTAAATACAGACAATATTTGCAGGGTCCCCTATATGTAGAAAGGTCACAAGATATTTTATATGTAGAATACCTCCACAGATCTTCTAAAGAGATTTTAAAAGTAAAGAAGACCTTCCCAAGAAAGATGACCTTCAGGCGATAGGATCTTCTATTGATACTTACCCTTATGAGGAGTTTTATAAATCAAAGATATTCAAAGGATTTTTAACAGATGACTTTCATAAGGGTTGAGGTGGGTCTCTTGGCGGAAGACATTCACAAGGTTCTCCATAGATTAACAGCTTGCAATGGATATTTTATAAACCCAAGACTTTAAAAGGTATTCCTTCCTTCAAACGAGTTTCTATAGATAGAAAACACCAGGTAGAAGGACGTCTTTCCTTTCATAGATGAGCAGAATGGAGTCTGTCCTCCAAAGACGAGCAGAAGGGAGTCTCTTTTTCCATAGTCGAGTAGAAGGGAGCATCTTCTATCACAGACGAACAGAAGGAAGTCTCTCCTACCATAGAAGAGCCTAAAATAGGGAGCAAATGGAAGTTTATCCTTCCATAGACGAATAGAGGGAAGTCTATCCTACCAAAGATGAGCAGATGGGAATTTCTCCTTCCATAGACGAGTGAAAGGAAGTCTCTCCTTTCATAGACGAGCAGAATGGAGCCTGACTTCGAAGAACGAGCAGAAGGGAGTCTGTCCTCCAAAGACGAACAGAAGGGAGTATCTCCTACCATAGACGAGCAAAAGGGAAATTCAAAGAATTTTTAACCGAAGACTTTCATTGGTTCTTTCGTGGGTCTCTATAGGCGGAAGGCCTTCAAAAGGTTCTCTGTAAACGCAAAACAATCTTTTTTAGACGGAAGACATTCACAAGGTTTGCTATAGACCAAAGGCTTTCAATTAACCGAAGACTTTGGAAGGTGTTTTTTTGGTGAATATCTTCAAAAGGTCGTCTGTAGACAGAAACCCTTCTATAGATCGATGACGTTTCTTCTTCTATAGACCAAAGATCATCAAAGGGTATTCTACAGTCTCTACAAACAGAGGACCTTTATCGACGTTGTTTAAGCAGAAGACCTAAATTGGCCATTTTTGGATAGAAACCCCTTTAGAAAAGGTCCATACCTTGAATGCCCCTAAAGGTCTTCCATAGACAAGAGACCAACGGAATATTTCCAGAAGCAGGCGGTCTAATGTAAGAAGAACATATGTTATTTAGACAGAAAATCTTCAAATATATTCTAAATATGGGGTAAGTCCTCCCCTCTCCCCCTCATAATTAATTGACAATTTCGGATAAAGATTCATTGGAACTCTTGTATTTTAGGTATATAGTGTTTTCGGTAATATAACAAATACTACTTTACAAAATATGGTCAAGAACACCCTTTAGACGGGATCGAAGCAAGTCAAATTATTCTATTAAATATTTTGTAGCAAAATTCTTCTATAGGTCTCAGAATGCAATAAAAGTGATATCTTCCAACGCTCACCTCTGGAGAGACACCTTTAAAGAATCTTTTAAAGGTAGGAGATCTTCTATAGGCTATAAAAATGGCTTCTGAACGCCGAATACCTTCAGAAAGTCTTTTTTATACTGAGGACCCTCAAAAACATTGCTATAGAACGAACCCTGAAGAAATCTCGAAGTCTCTAGAGTACTTTATATAATATAACCCCTTAAAAAAACCTTATGCAGACCGAGGTTATTAAAAACGCATTCTGTAGCATTCTTTACATTCGCTGGAATTCGATTGAAAGAATTAAAAATCTCTACCAAAAGGTCTATTCAAAATTAGTCCATACCGCAAAGACTTGGAAAATTTATTCCAGGGCCTAAAGACCTCTTTTTTATTTTTCTGTTGTTTATAAAATATTTAATGTTTAAAAACTAAATTATAATAATTTGTGTACATTCATCCCACTGTGCAGGGGCAAAACTTGTAAATAGTGTCACTACAAACAAAAATAATCCCGAAATTGTTCAAAAACTTTTATTCCGGCATTTGATTTGTGTCTTTGTGTTCTTTTTCTCCCTCTCTATCTATCTCTTTCTCTCCTTCTCTCTCATTCCATTGCAGTTCCATTGGATATTAAACCATGTCAGGCGGCAGCAATCACACAGCATCAACTATTGCTACAAGCAAATGGCCAGCATACTCAGACCCAACAGCAACAACACCCGAGTCATTCGCAAAATCCTCAACAGCTCAGCAACTCTTTAATGGCCATGAACGGAAATGAAAGAATGTTAACAACAACAGTAACAGCAAATACTTCCGCCTCACCAGCAAATTCGGCACCAACAACTGGGAATTCTTCGTCTCATCATCAACGCCATCAACAATGTGCCTCCTCCTGCTCCGCAACGTCCTCCATCTCCTCATCTTCGGGTGCACAGCTACAAAATGGTGGCGGAGGAGGAGGTTGTGGTCACAACGGCAACAGTATCGGCGGCCAGGAAACACTTAATGACAACATGACAAATAGTAACAACGACAATGGCAGCAATCCTACAGCAACAACAAGTGGTACAACAAACTGTGGGGATGCGACGCTTGAACAGCAGACAATGACATCGTGTTCCACACTTGTCAACGGAAGTTGTAGCAACCACAATGGCAATGTTGGTACTTGTCAAACATCAGCAACAACGACAAACATCAATGGCCATGCACGGACAAATGATAACAAATCCTCAACAAATCCCTGTGGCCCAGGACCACCAGCCATACAACAGCAGCTACAGCAGCTATCCTTGCAACAGCAGCAGCAGCAACAACACCAACAGGCCTTAAATATTCTTCAGTGTTCAGCCAACCGTTTAACATTAAGCGAATGCAATTTGAATAGTCTCAACAGCAACAATCACAACAACACCATGCATTGTAACAGCAATCACAACAACATTGAAACGGCTCTCGCTCTACAACAGCACTTGTTACAGCATCACCAGCACCATCATCAGCATCAACATCAATTGAACAATGGTGGCCCATTAAACCATTCCTGCTCCTCCTCTTCCACCTCCTCGGCTTTGAGCGTAATTGATGCCCTGTGTCCGGCCGTATCCTTGCCATTGCTCTCGTCAAATGCCTCCTCCTCGGCAACCGTCTCGTGCTCTACCCCGAATTCCAATTCATTGTCGCCTCTGGCCTGCGGCTATTGTTGCCAACCAATTTGTGATCGTTACATAATGCGTGTCGTCGACACTTCATTCCACGAAAGCTGCCTTAAATGTGCAACATGCTCGCTGCATTTGGTGCATTCCTGTTACAGTCGCGAGGGCAAACTCTACTGTCGCATCGACTATGAAAGGTATGAACGAACGAACCAATGAATGAATGAATTTGTAAAATAGGAATGTATGTTGCCCATGCCCATGGGCGAAATACATTCATACATACATACACACACACACTCTCTCACCCACACAAATGAATGAATGTCCTTTGCAAATTGTTGAAGATGCCTCTTGGATACATTGAACTGAAATTCCATTGCAAAAGGATTCTTTAGATATTACCGTGAAATGCTAAGGCCATTGACATCTGCTAATGCAGTGGAGTTTTGTAAAACTCTTTGTTCGAAACAAATTTTGGATTTGAAGTTTAAATTTAAATCGTGTATTGAGCTAGGTGTCATAAAATCTAAAATAGTGCATTTTGGATAAAAAGGAAAACAAAAGTTTTTTTTTCTCATAAAATGAAGTGTCTATTAGACCAGGAATGAGAAAATAGGTTATAAAGCTAAAAGAACTTCTACAGCTATTTAATAGCTTAATTTAATAACCTTTTTGATTAAAGGGTGTTTAATAGCTAGAAGATCATCTGAGCGACCTCCAAAGGTCTTCTAAACATTGAAGATCTTTCAAAGGTACTCTATGAGCCTTAAGGAGGTCCCGAAATAATAAAAGAAAACTTATATGCATATTAAAACTTCTAAAATTGTTCTATAGATTGAAGGTCTAATCCAGGATATTCTGCGCAGAAACGTTCTTATAAAGGAATCACGAGTGGTTTTATCTTAGGCTCAAGTAAGCCCTGGGTCAGCCAGGGCCAATTCACGGTCAACAAACCTTAATGGGAGGTGTAAAATTTCCATTTTTTGTGTAACCTTTTAGATGTCCTGGGAATGGCGTTAGTGCTATAGCAGTCGACTGTATAGTGTTCACGCCAATGTAGATGACCCTAGCGGTTGGTTCTATTACTCTCGGTTTCATGTTCTCGTCTTAGTAACACTGTGCGACAAAATTATTATTTTTTTCAAGAATTACAGGAAATTATGAAAGTAGAGCTAATAATAGAGCTTATCGTATGAGAGGGGACAAATTCACCACTCTTTAAAGCTTTTTTATAAATTTTCGGATTAAGATTTATTGAAATCTTTAAAATTTGGAATATCAGTACGCGCAGTTTTAACCCTTAAGAGAATCACAAAAGGTTGTTTTTGAGAGTTAAAATTTTCAACCAAATAATCCTCGTATTTTTATTAATAAAATTGTTGAAAACGCTATATCGCGGAATGGAATTTGTCCGATCTATTTAGGTAACTTTGCGTTGTATTTTGTCTCGCAGTTTAATGGACGGTTTATAATCCCCATTACAATAATCGGACAAAAACGGGTGGGCGAAAAAATTGAGATTTCCTTGTCTGGGTATGTCCGGCACCGGCTAACGCAAACCAAAACTTTCTAAATTTTACATTTTTTGTAAATAGGAGACCTTCGGCCAGGGATTGAGGTTTTCTCCTCTGAGTATGTACCGCATCAGCTAACACGAACCTAAGTGTACTACATTTAATAATTTTTTAAGTAGTCCCCACAGCAAACGGTCGTACTCCCCATGTCCTCTTCCACAACGGACATAATCCCAACTTTATTGTTATGACCGAAAAAAACCATTCATAATCCCCATAATTGCAATGGGGATTATGTCCGGGCGCCAGTTTTGTGATCAAATAAATGATATCCGGTTGTTGTAGTTGTATCTCGTCTGGCCAAAGAATAGTCTTGGTATAAATGAGAAGGAATTGAGTCTCAGAAGGGTTCGAGTAGCAGATGAGTATCTTAAGATGTTCTTCCATCCTAAAAATGTGTTGAAACTTGAGAAGGACAGAAGTCCCTTTAAAGATATTCTGTTAGGTGGAAAATCGTCTCTATGGTCTTCGATGGATCGAATTATATATTGATTAGGTCCACCTGTGGACAAAATATCTACTTAAGCTCTTCTATAGATTCAAGGTCTTCTCGAGGTTTTCTATGTATATCGATGAAAAAACTTGAGAAGGACAGAAGTCCCTTTAAAGATATTCTGTTAGGTGGAAAATCGTCTCTATGGTCTTCGATGGATCGAATTATATATTGATTAGGTCCACCTGTGGACAAAATATCTACTTAAGCTCTTCTATAGATTCAAGGTCTTCTCGAGGTTTTCTATGTTTGAAGGACCAACCATGGGTTTTTGTTGATAAATGACATTCTTAAGCATTTTTATGAAAAATATTTATAAATTATCTATCAACCGAATGCTTTCTCAGGGTCTTCCATGGACAAAAGAAAAGTATTTGCTTTATAGATAGTACACTTTCTCAATGTTTCTCTGGAAGACGATAAACTACTTCGTAAGGTCTTCTATATAGAAAACACCTCTACAAAGTCTTCCACTTCACTGATGGAAGGCCTTCTGAAGATCTTCTATGAATTGAAACACTTCTGTGTCATATATTGTGATAGGAGACCTTCTCAAGATTCACAGAAGATTGTAAGCTGTTTTCTGAGGAGAAAAAACCTTATCAAGGCCATCTACGAATGGAAAACGCCCTCAATGTTTCTGTGGATAAGAATCCATTTTACTTTATTCGATGACGAAAAGACCTTATTAGGGTCTTCAAAGGAAAAAGATTATCGAAGATACCCCCAGGAAAGACAACCCTTTCAAGGTCTCCCTCTATTGGAAGAAGCCTGGTTTAGGTCTACCATCAAGAGAATAACTACTTAAAGCCTTCCATCGATAGAAAATCTTCATCGAACAGAAGACTGTCTTAAACTATACTCAGGATTAAAGACCATTTTTTTGTCTTCTGGAGGTAGAAAAAATCTTTAAGGATTTCTAAGGAAAAAACCTCCACCTCTTTTAAAGGTCTTAATGATTTGATGTCTATGAAAGACTTCTAGAATTGCTACTGCACACAGGATGAGAAAAAAACTGCAACAAAATCAAACAAAATAATTTTTAAATTTTTGCCCTGAGGTATTTTGGATCATTCCCTGCTCTGAGGTATTTTGGATCATTCCCGGCGAAGCGCTTGCTTGAGGTGATCGACACGACACTTCGGTATTTTTTAATGCCAACCCTGCATTCCAAAATACTCCAGACACAATAATCCAACGGATTGGTATCCGGAGATTTTGGTGGCTATTGTGCGCTGGAAATGAAGCGAGGAACCTCATTTAGTAACCATTTTTGGGTGGCGCGTGCTGAGAGCGAAGGTGCCGTTTGCGTGCCCAAGGCTTTAATACAACCTCCAGAATATTTTCGCAACCGAAAGTGCACATTTTCCGCTTACCTCTTTGGCAAGTAAACACGATCATTTTGTTTGTTTACAAACTGCTGGACAAAGAATGTTTTCTCATCGGAGAAAACCAAATTCGGTAGTTCACTAGTTTTGAGTATATTTTCTTTCTGTTTCGGTATAAGTTCTTACACTTTTTGGAATTTCAATGACTTTACCCCTAGCTCATTTTTCAATATTTGCCGATTGGAACATTGCGATATATTCAGCTCACGAGCTATTTTTCGGCCACTGCCACGCGGGTTTCGATCCAGTCGCTTCTTTACTTTGCAAACCATTTCTGCTGATGTTGCTGTTTTCTTCCGTCCACTTCCTTGACTACGCTACGAGTATCACGGTGGTATTCCAGCCAAATGTAAAGAAATCACACTATCACGCTTGAATTCCATCACGAATAACTTTTTTCTGGAAAAATTTTCTGTCATTAAAAACATCTAAAAAAGTATTTGCAAGACCTCTGAAAGGTATATTAAGGACCTCTAGGACACGTCTGACAAAAGAAAACCTCAGGAAGCTCTTCATACATTAGAAAAGTTTACTTTTTTTGGAAGACTCAGGTGGTATTCTGCATATAGAAGACTTTTTAAGAGCCTGGTATCTCTAGAAGATATTATTTTCAAAGAGCCCCTTAAAGGTATATTTAACTACAGTAGGTATAATTTCTTTCAAAAAAAAATAATAGAGTGTAGTGAATCCATAGAAAATCTCCAGAAGGTTCTAAGCTAAAACGTTTTTTCTCCAAGGGTGACTTGCAGAAAGTATGTCTTCTTGGAAGAACTCGGATGTGAGTAGAATCTAGAATCCAGCTATCTTCAACAAACGATAACTCTCTACGGGAATTTATTAAATCATTATCGGTATATAATTTCTTCCAAATCGCCAAACACGAAGCAATTTTAATATTTATATCCGCTATAAGGAATTGTCAAAGATACACATTTTCCTCCCAAATTTTTTGAATGTAGTATTTTGAATATACACTTCTCCTTATATAACCATACAACGGGTGAGTGTGAGTAAAAGGTCAGCAAAGTAAAATCCCAAAGATGGTCGATATTCGCGCATGCGGATAAATTCACTTCATGTAAATTTAAGGGTCCAACCAATTAAAAGGCCAGAGTTTTAACAGGATAACAAAGAATCTCAAGGTAAAATTTAGAATTTTGCAAAATTATTAGATCCTCTTCCAGTTGTTTCAATACGGCGGGACTAACATATGTCAGTTATTTTTAAAGTTACTACACCTTTATGCATCGATTTCACGAAACCTCATCTATCCCACTGATAAAAGGTCTTCCTGATCTTTCGAATCCCCAAACTATGATGGTTCGACATTAACAATATTTTTGCAAAATGTAAAGTTTTTGCCGTTAATGGATCTAAAATGTCTATTTTTGCATTCAATACTCGTTAATACCTAGATCTACATTTTTACTTCTTCTCCATCTTTCACCCCAATGCATTGGGATAAATACAATTTTCTTTAAACATTTATTTATTATAATAAACGGAATAATCTCAATTTAAATTAATATATTTACTCCTCCCACACACCCACACCCAGACTTTTTCTGCGTAATCGTTGCCTTGGATGCGGTCACAAAATTGCCGCCGATGAACTGGTGATGAGGACACTCGAAAATGTTTTCCATTTGAAGTGCTTCGCCTGTGTGGTATGCGGTGCCATTCTCAAGAAGGGTGAGCAGTATGTCGTGAAACAGGGCCAATTGTTTTGTCGTTTCGACTACGAAAAGGAAGTGGAAATGCTACAAGGATACGGTGAGTATGGAAGATGTTAGCCAGCTGCCAAGCAAAGCCAATACAAGCCACAATAAATAAATCAGCAAAATGTTAAAAGCTAACAAAAAACAGAATACATTCACTTGAGGAATGCGATATGGAAAGTAATTTATTTGTTGCTGTTGCTTGTAGAGCAGAAATCTCAGAGAAAAAAAGAATATTTTAAATTTTATTCTCTTGTGTTTTTGCGAACAGATTTCTATGGCGATGACTTGTTTGCCCCAAAGCTGGATGGTCGACGCGGCCCCAAGAGGCCACGCACCATACTCAATACCCAACAACGAAGAGCCTTTAAGGCGTCCTTTGAAGTATCACCCAAACCCTGCCGTAAAGTGCGCGAGAATCTGGCCAAGGAGACAGGCTTAAGTTTAAGGATTGTACAGGTAACCACAGTGCCGCTGGAGTTTAATAACAAAATTTGATTAATCGAATTATTTTAATTTTTCCTTTGGCTCTCCAGGTATGGTTTCAAAATCAACGAGCCAAGGTAAAGAAGATTCAAAAGAAAGCCAAATTGGATGGCAGCCATGCCAAGGGCAACAGTGACTCTCCAGATTCACAAGAGTCGGATAATAGCAATATGACCAAAATCAAAGATGAGGCACACAGCGACACAGAATCGCTAATGGATGCTCCTTATGGCACGGCATCATCATCAGAGGCCATGGCCAAGCTGAGGTCATGCATCAAGGATGAGAACGATGGCACACCCTTCAGTTGTATAGAAACCAATAAAGGTAAATTGAAAATGTTTGTTCGCAACAAAATATGAGATTAATAAATAAATAAAAAAATTCTTTTGCAGAAAATTGCAATAAAACCAACGAACCCATCCTCAATACAATACTGGGTTTGAGCTATTCCACATTCCAACAATTAATGGGGCCTTTTACACAGACATCTATGATTAATCCCATAGATCGTTTGTACAGCATGCAGAATTCCTATTTTCGTCCAGATGAGCTGGGTTATGGCGAGCCAAGTGCTGGACCATTGAGTGGTGGCGGTGGGGGTGGTGTCGGCAATGGGCCGAACCCCATGGCCATGAGTAGTAGTCTAGGTCAAAAAGATATTAGTGATTAAATGAGATTTTTATATTATGTAGATTTTAAGTAGCTTTTTAAGATTATCTTAAAGAAAATGTGTGGTAAAAAAATATAAGAATAGACATAAAAATCTAAAATTTGTAAAAAAAATAATGAAAATAATTTTATGTTGGCAATAAAATTTAAATGTTGAAAATTTAGAAAATATAAATTGAAAATAAAAGAAATATTGATATAAACATATTTTTTTAAGCATTTTTATACTATCCACCATACTATGGAGGGTATATTAATTTTGTCATTCCGTTTGTAACTCCTCGAAATCTCATGTCAGACCCAACAAAGAATACATATGCTTGATCAGCGTAAAATTCTAAGACGATTTAGCCATGTCCGTCTGTGTGTCTGTCTGTTGTAATCACGCTATCTTTCGAACAAATTGAGATAGAAGGCTAAAATTTTGCAAACATGTATATTTTGCCAGTAGGCAGGTTAAGTTCGAAAATTTACCATGTAGGTCCATGTTATCATAGAGCCCCCATATAACGGTACCTCCCGATATTCGGTATTTTGATGATTTTAGCGACATTAATCACCGGAATTGTTTCAAATTTGGCATTTGAAGTTAGTAATGGATACTACAGCCTAAGACAGAAAACTATCTGTGCAGGTCCACGTCTTCGTGTAGCCCCCATATAACGGTACCCCCCGATATTGGGTATTTTGATGATTTTAGCGACATTATTTAACGGAACCGTTCCAAATTTGGTATTTGAAGTTCGTAATAGATACTGCAGCAGAAAACAGAAAATGGGCCATATAGGTCAACGTCTTCATATAGCCCTAATATACCGTACCCCCCGATATTCGGTATTTTGATGATTTTAGCGGCATTATTTACCGGGATTGTTTCAAATTTCGCATGTGAAGTTCGTAATGGATACTTCAGCCCATGACAGAAAATTGTCATAGGTGTTTTATAGAGAAAAGACCTTCTGAAGGCTTGAATATAGAGAAGATTATTAAAGAGGAGAAGCCTGAAGTCTTCAATATAGAGAAAAGTTCTCTAATGAAAGAAGGTCTTATAAGGATCATTTGTAAACCCAAGATCTTCTACAGACAAAGAAATTTTGAGAATATTATATAGAGAATTTCTTTTTGAGTCATTTAGAGACAGAATACGTTTTAAATGTCTTTCATGCAAGGAGCTGATCTTGATTCCTTGTACAGGGTGAGATGACTATACTCCAACCAAGTTCAGACTGCTATCATTTCTAAGCCACTCGTCCGACAGCTGTTAAAATCATTCTAGTGACAGCTCATTATATTGTTTACATTTTGGTGAGAACTATCCATAAAAACAGTTATTCGTCATGGAATTCAAGCGTGATAGTGTGATTTCTTTATATTTGGCTGGAAAACCACAAGTGGCTATCGTTAGAGCACTCTAGCATTTATAAATCTTTTGTGTCTCGTACCATCGTTCGTTACCGTGATACTGGTAGCGTAGCCCGACGCCAAGGAAATGGACGGAAGAATCAGCAACATCAGCAGAAATGGTTCGAAAAGTAAAGAACCGACTTGATCGAAACCCACGTCGCAGTGGCCGAAAAATGGCTCGTGAGCTGAACACATCGCAATATTCCATTCGGCAAATACTGAAAAATGAGCTCGGGGTAAAACCATTGAAATTCCAAAAAGTTCAAGAACTTTAACAGCAACAGAAAGAAAATAGACTCAAAAGAGCTTAAAAGTTGCTTCGCTTAGGCGAAAGTGGTGAACTGCCGAATTTGGTTTTCTTTGTCTCCGATGAAAACATTCGTTGTCCTGAAGTTTGTAAACAAACCAAACCGTCATAACAGCCGATGGTCGCTCTCCGCTCGGATTAATTGACTGTGGCATCCGAATAAATGCCGAATATTATCGCGAAAATATTCTTCAGGGTGTATTAAAGCTTGGGGCACGCAAACATTTTGGCCGCAGACCTTGGATATTCCAACAGGACTCAACACCATCGCACTCAGCACGCGCCACCCAAAAATGGTTACAAAATGAGGTTCCTCGTACCGTTTCCAGCGCACAATGGCCGCCAAAATCTCCGGATAACAATCCGTTGGACTATTGTGTTTGGAGTATTTTAGAAAGCAAGGTTGGCACTAAAAAATACCAAAGTGTCGATCACCTCAAGCAAGCGCTTCGCCGGGAATGGGCCAAAATACAGCAGTGCAACATTCGGGCAGAGTGTGACGGTTTCATTGGCAGTTTGAAGGCCATAATTCGTGCCAAAAGGTGACCAATTCGAACAAATCTAAACTTATTCTTAAATTTGATGCTATTTCCGATTATTTTTGCTTTCATTCAATAATATTAAAAAAATGGAAAAATTATTGAATTTATTGTATTTTTATATATCCCTGTATATGGGAGCTATAGCTATATCTGAACTGATTTTTTTTCAAAATTTGATGTACTTGCTTCTAGACTGGATTCGGCTGGATGTGTCAAAATTCAGGTAATTTGGACTGATATTGGCCATTTGGTTCACAATTAACCCAAAATCGGTTTAAGATATATGGGAGTTTTATCTAAATCTGACAGATGGACGGACTGATATGCATAAATGACGGACTGATATGTATAAATCTCAGAAAGTTTTTTTTTATCCTCAGAAGTAACTATGGGTCTATCCCGCTTTCCTCTCCCTGTTATAAACGCACAGAGATATAATACCTTAACACTATGTGTTGTAGAATATAAAAAGTTGACAGTTTTTAAGAAAAAAATTAAGGTTTTGTGATCGGAAAATATATATGTAGGTACTTTTCATAGTCTTTTGACAGAAAAAATATATCAACTTTGAAAGAACTTTTTTAAGGAAATACATTCAAATACCCCGAAACAAAATTTAGACAGTTTTCATTTCTTGTTTTTTTAATGGACTTCAGACAAAAAACATAGATACTTTATTTATTTATTATTTTTTTAGGAACCATTTGCCTTAAAATACGAAGTATAAGAAGCAAAATATTGAGAATCTTCTGTCCAAACGAATGAATTCTGTTTGAAAAAAATTTTCAAGCGCCTCCTTAAGAAATGTCTTTGTGTGTTTAGAAATTATTTCCAAATACCCCAGACCAATAATTTCAATTTTATGAGGACATTTTCAAGCATTTCCTTACAGAAAAAGGCAAGGACCAATCGACCGAGGAAAGGAAATACACTGACAGAAAACCATGGATTTTAATAAAATATTTTTCTCATCTTCTGACCAAAAATTGTCCTTCTGACAAATAATCATTGATGGGTTAAGAATTATTTATTCTAAAATCTACGAAAACCATGATTTTTTTAGATTTTTTCCAGCACCCTCTGACCAAGAATCGGGTATTTTCCAGAAAACTTTCTTTCATAGACTATCGAAAACCGACTACCGGTTTTGTCGGGAATCCTGTCCGAAAACCGCGGATTTTTATAAAAGTGTTTTTCTGATCTTCTGACCAAAAATCGTCCTCTTTCATTAAAATCATGGATGGATAAGAATTTGTTTTACGAATTATTTATTCAAGGATCTACAAAAATCTTCATTTTTTTTAATTTTTCCAGCTCCTTCTGATTTTTTGGGTATTTTTAAGAAAACCTCCTTACCTAAAATCGTGGATATTTAATAATATTGTAAGGTCTCCTTATTGAAAATTATTTAAACAATTTATGAATTTTTTAAGGATTTTCTTATAGAAATCTTGGATTATTCAATGATATTCGGACCGCAATAGGACATTTTCTACAAAAAATTCAGATTCCACTGTCCAAAAAGAATGATTTTTTTGAAACTTTTTTCACTTTTTTTCAAGCTCATCCTTAATTTTTAATTTTTTTTTCAAGTACCCCATGTCCCATAAACGCGGAATTTTTATAAATTTTAAGGAATTCAAGGATCTACAAAAATCGTGATTTTTAAGATTATTTTCTAGCATTTTCTAACCGAAAATCGTTTATTTTTGGGAAAACTTTTTTTAGATACCATCTTACCGAAAATCATGAACGTTTAACAATATTGCAAGGTCTCCTTGTATTTTAAATAGTATATGGATTGATGATTTTTCAATGATTTTCTAACTCCAAAGGACATTTCTTTAAAAATTTGTGATCCTGAACCAAGAGTCGTAAATTATTACATATTTTTTCTATGGCCTAGGGAATTTTAAAAACATTTTTTAAGGACTGCTTTTAAAAAAAAATCAACGTTATTACAGGGCCACAGGGAGGTAGAATAAAACATAAGCATTTTCTCCATAAATTGTATTTAAAAATACCTTGGACTTTTCCCGAGAACCTCTCAACTAAAAATCCTATTTTTTTTCAAGAACCAATCAATTTTTCCATTTATTCCAATCAACCGTTATTTTTAATGTATTTTTCTTTTGTAAAATATATTTATTGTAAATAATTTGCACATTTTACTCGTATTTGGAACAAATCGAATTGAAATCGTCAAATAAAGAGCCATAACATTTCTGCAAATGGGAAATTGTATACTTTTTAAAAGTTTTATTTAATTTTTTACTTTAATTCACTAATACAAAATTTCAGTGAACACCACGTTCTCTATTCTCCATATTGGTATTGAATTTCATGCAGCTCAAGAAAATACTACCTACAATCTCCCACCAACCCTCTTACCAAAATTCAAGTTTCGGCCAAAACAACAACAAATGGAACAAACACTCTCCACAAAATTTGTTGGAAAACAAGTTTGCAGGTGCAGTCAAAGGAAAATTTGTTCCACTCAGTTGACATAAACAAGGGCAAATATTTTCCACGTCATCTTCGTGTCACACATCGCAATTCGGATTATCGTCGCTGTTTTTGTTGTTCTTCTTATCCATGCTGTGTTAAACAGCATCAGTTCCAGTTGGAATACAAACACACACACAACAACAATGCGAGATGACATAAAATTAGAAATCATTTGCCTAATCGTCCTGTTACGTGTTTCTATGTGTAGCTAGACTGGATGCTATGCAATGTCACCCAGGGTGGCTTTATAGGTGTTTTGTCCTATCCCTCCCCTCTCCAACCAAGAAATAACTTGGCTAAACCTTAACAACCACTCGTTGGCTGACTGACTGGCTGAAACATATTTTCACGCAAAAACTCA